TTCAAGTAATGCCTAGTTCTTGTTTTGTTTGAGATTACATTTTGGAAATTATTAATTGTTAGGAAAATAATTTTTTTAAACCACTCTTGATCGTTTAAACCAAGAAGCTTCATAATTACTTTCTTCTTAAATCTTTCCGTTAGCATTCTCACTTTACTCTAATTTTAAGCAGGTCTCTATGCTTATCTAAAATGGTACTGTCCAGCTGGCATGCAAGCTGTAAAACTTGGAATTTATAGTGCTTTTTACATTGAAATGCAGCCTATCGATTCTTCTCATACCACTGCGCTCCACAGAAAAACAGATACTTCTCTTTTAGAAAAGTGAAGGCATTAAAGTACAGTATGTTTTGTCCTGGGCTACAGAGAGCCTCGTATGAAAACCTACATTAGATTCTCTGAGCAGAGACTTTCTGCAGCCCCTTTCCTCCCAACTGTCACCAATACTTAAGACAAAGCCTGGTATAATTGCGTTGTATCTGAGCTTTGCTAATGCCTGGGAGAGCTAGCGTTGCACTGTATCATAGGTTTTTGCACACTGGTTGTAATTGTGCTGATTTACATTGTAAAATAAGTGCATAATGGGCTGTGGTAGTTAATGATGCTGTCTTACTGTTGTGGAAGAAATGATCATACAGACTTGTAAAGAAATAAATGTTTTAGAAACACAAGTTTGGTGGGAGCGGAGGGAATCTAGAAGAAAGACTTAAAGGCTCTAAAATCTTTATTTTCATTTCAGGCAGAGGCTCACTCCAACAGATTAAAAGCCCAGGCCTCCATGATGGCTGCCGTTGCTTGTGCTGCTGTTCCCAAAATAACCATTGTAATCGGTGGCTGTTATGGGAGCGAAAGTTATGTTATGGTACGGGTAACATAAATGTTAATGAGTTTGGTAATAGACTTTTTACACTTTACCAAGATTTCACAGCACTTCATTTTTAAAACAGAGTCAGCTGTTGTTACAGACATTTAACTCAATTCGTTATTTTAACTACTTTTAAAGTAAGAATGCATCACAAGATGTGATTACAGAAAATTTGGTCTGCATCTAAGAACCTAGAGCCAGTTCTAAAAAAAACAGGTTGTCTGAAAATGTCCCTACTCGGAGCCAGTCCTGCCTTTTTCTCAGCACATGCTGTTTGTTTTCAGTGATCAAGGAGCACATCTCCTTTAGTTGTGCTACTATGTGTGCTGTTCACGCTGCTAGTAGGGCTCTTTGTTTGCTCAGAATTAAACATGTCAGTGCTTGGAGGAGAAATGAAATAATAAAATAGGAATATTGAAGGCAGTGGGGATTGTGATGGTTGCTACAGCAGGGTGTCTGTACTGATACAGGACCTGTAGCTGTAATGTAAAGGAGCTGTATCATTAATGCTTTACAAATTAGACTGTATTACATTCTGCCTTGAATTTGATTGTGCCATCCTACAGCCATGTTTTTGTGATTAATTTCAATGAGTTTGTACTGTGCATTTTTTGTAGTGCGGGAGATCGTTCAGTCCAAACTTTCTGTTCTTGTGGCCTAATGCAAGAGTTGCTCTTGTGGATTCAAGACATTTCTCCACAGTCCCACAAGCTGGGGACAATGACTGTACAGGAGATGAATCAGAGCTAAAACATCTGAAAGAAAAGTAAGGACATTAAATATAAACCCTTGCAGTTACACTGGGATTTAATTAGTTAAATTACCTACTTCTGTTCATCTTGCAGATCAACACATCCCAAACAAATAAAGCAAACTTGAATCTACTGAAAAATATTTGAAATTTCCATGTAATTCCATGTCTGCTCTTAGGATCTTCTCAAGGAAACAAAAATGTTTGACTTAAGAAATAAAAAACCAACCAAACAAAAAAACCCCAAACACAAACAACCAACCAACACCCCCAAAAAAACCCCCACAAAACAACCCTGAAACCATACAACCCAAAATCAAGATATTCTGCTGTTTATTAAACAATGGTGATCTTCTGAATATGGAGGATGGTCTGTAGTACAGAATGATCAGATTTGTTAAGTATTGTTTGCTGGATTCTAATTAATTTTAATAGTAGTACTGCACATTCACTTGAGATTGAAGTATATGCCTTTTTCATCTATGATTTTGTTTTACTGGCCTGATGTTTTTTATTACATTTTTGTGCTTTTAAGCTTGTTTAATACTCTCTTCTCCAGGCTAGAGGAAGAAAGCAGTGCATTTTACTCCTCTGCCAGACTCTGGGATGATGGTGTAATTCTACCTCAAAATACTAGAAAGGTAGGGTTTTTTCCTTACGTGTTCTTTACAGTACATTTTATCCTCGGATCTCAAAAGGATCTTGCGGCAAACGCGCAAGCCTATGACCCGCTTAAGGTGAGCGGCATGCTGATTCTCAGAATCGGGTCTCCCACTTCTCACTCCATTTTATGTGGCATTTAGCTTTGCTATTCTCATCTTTTCGCTTCTCCATTAGTCTATCCAGAAAGTTTCTGTTGAATTCTGGTTACGTTCTGGTTGCTTGACTACAGCGTTTCCTCACTGAACCTCTTAATTGACTTTACCGTTTGATTCTGTACCCAAATCCTTTCTTTTTCGGTCTTGCATAATCACCCATATCTTTAGTCTTTTAAGTTCAGGCTCTTCACTGTTCATGTTGCTTCCATTCTTTTGTCCTAGGATGTTTCTTTTTGCTACTTTCTCTTCGTGCTTGTAATTTGCTGCTTACGTTTGGGATGCACCCCCCCCTCCTTTTTATTTATTTTTTTAGATTTTTTAGATTCTTTCTGAAAGCCGCCACCTTCGTTCTTCTATTTTTCCTTGTTATATTGTTTATTAGCAATACTTAATGTTCTTTGCACTTCTGAGGCTTGTTTACTTCAAGATCACAAATACAGCCTGCTATCAATTAATCCTTCTAAATATGGTACCTATTTATGGTACTACGTAGATGTTAAATACTTCCTGTGGAGTTTATGGGAACTTTGATGATGGGAGAGCACCAAGAAGTATTTTCTAGTACTAGAGCCCAGAGACTACCTCTCTCTAGGAACTACACATGAAAAGAAAATACGTGACAGTTGAAATGAATCATTGTTGCTCTCATGTAATTTTCACCAGCATACTACAATTCATGTTTGCATGTTTAGCTGTTTTTTACAATATTGTTTTGCTACTTTATCCCAGTTCTTGCTAATAGATGGAATTTATGTTTATCTTTGTCTGAACTGACAGCATGTGCTCATTCAGATCCTTGATGTGCTTTTTTTTTTAATAGTCTTTAAAAGACAATGTGCTCCAGTAGAAGTGGAATATGCACAGTGAAATTAGGAAAATGCTTACCACGACTCTGGATTCGCAACGAGATACACAAATGGTTTTGGCAAAGGAGACTATTATATGCGCCATATGATAAAAGTTAACAAAATCTTAATGGAGAATTATCTTGTTTTTAAAGACCAAAACCAGTTCTGTATTTTCAGTCCCTGTTGTCACAAGGCACCAAGAAAGATGACTTCTTAGAAAAATATGGATGCGGAAGAGCAGGATATTCTGCTAATTTTTGATAGGCGATTGGGAATTTTAGGAGCGTAGCTGTGTAATAACAGAAATGGATTATCACACAATATATTTTCATTGGATTTTTATAGCAAAATAGCTTCCCAGTGTTCCAAAAGTAATTCTCTTGTCACCACAGTGACTTTAAAATGGTTTAGTGATCTCTGTATGCAACGCATAAACTTTGGGATCCTGAGGACATTTCTTCTTTTACATTTCCCCTGCCCCAGTGGTACGTTACACAGACATCTATTTCGCCTAACGCTACCGCCAACAACTGTTCATTTTAAATGTTCATTATTTTGCAAAAAGTAAGAACAAGTGCATTACAGAATGGGTGCATAACTAGTAAGTTTTACTAATTTTTTGTTTCAGAGGCCCATTGCTTATATTGTCTTTTGTTTTTAATTAGGTGATTGCACAGTGCTTAGAGATTATAGAACAGCAGAAGTACCAGGTTGTATCTCCGTGTCCATATCCTGTCATCAGAATGTGACTGCAGCCGTTTTCAAAGAATCAGCCTTTTAAAGTTAGCACCATGTACTAGAAAACTTTAATGTCAATGATTTTCTAATTCTTTGATACCATTAATAAAAATATTAAACCATTGCAGACAAACAAGAATCCTGGATTTTAAGTCTATTAGCAGTAAGTTTGTATTTTGAACCATAGCCTCTTACTACATTAGTTGAAAATTTATTTTGTGCGAAGGAAGGATTAAGCTGAGAGTCTATAGCACACTAAGGAAGCAAATTCATCCCAAGCCGTAACAATTGCTTGATTGTTTTCATATTCATGTTTTAGTATGAAATCCAGAACTCAAGAAACTGCACTTTGACAAAAGAAATGGGAAAGAGAAAACACATAAACGAATGCGGGCAGTTTTCAGCCTCAGTAAAGGACAAAATGCCGCCTGCCACACAGCCGTGGGGCTGCCAGTTCAGATTTCCAAAGCAGCTATGGAAAGGCTCCACTCGGATTGCTCTGAGGATACTAAAGGAGTGACCAGGAGGTGATTTAAATCCGTAATACTTCAGTATTGGCTAAAAATTACCCCTTCTCAAGACATGTAACAGAGCACAGAGAGTGTTCTACATCATGTTACCATGTGTGCAGGTATTGAGTTCACACTGTGCCGTTTCATGCATCTGTAACTCTGCCGCAGCTGCGAAGTTTAATTTTCTAAAAACAAAAACCACCTCCCCACCACCCCAAACTTGTGTTGTTTTAACTGTATAGTTCTTAGCACTGTACGTCTTAAAGTGGTGCCAAAGGGTGTATTTGAAAAATACCTGGTTAAGTATTTTGAAGAATCGTCAACAAAACTGAAATGCTCAATCTTAATTAAGTAGCCATGCAAATAAAAAGTGATGTTGAAGGAATTTAGGTCATCTGAATGCTTGTAAACAGAGACCGCACCTTTTCGGAGCTGGGAGAAACCTAATGCGACGCGTTGCAGGCAGCGGTCACGCTCTTTTGAAGAGTCCGTGGAAGGTCACGGGGATGTTCACCTCCACTTCAGCCCTGGCAACCTCGCTCATGTCTTTGGCGTTCAGGATCAGGAGGTAGGCGGGCTTCGGCCCTGCGCCCGGGCTGATCACGATGCTCAGCACAACCCCTGGCAGGCGAGAAAAACGAGAAGCCTGTCCCAGGTGTGCCCTTGCTGTACCCGTCCCGTGGGCTGGTCGAGGTAAGAGTCGCCACTCGCACACAGGACACCAGTAAATCTCGTTACTATTGCGTGATCATCAGTTCTGAAGCAGACGGTGAGATTATTTATTTCTCATGCTATTTTGGGTTTTTGCCGTCATCAGCTCGCTGGCCTGGGGTGCTGTGGCACCGTAGCTCCTATAGAGTTTATTTTTAAAACTAAAAAATGTTTTTATTCTGAAAAGGAGCTACGAAAAGCTATTGCAGGGGCTGACGACAAACGTCACTTACTGGAATACATATCAAATTTGTCCATTAATTTTTTGAACATTACTAATTACTTTAAATTTATAAATTACTTCATAAATCTGCTTCTGAGGTTTAATGCGACAAGATACCCATTTCTGGATCCTGGCATCCCTGTGTGGAATGGACGGGACGCCCTATCTCTTGGGCGGTTTGTTCGTTTGTGTACTCTGGGGGTCGGTCGTTGCAGGAGAACGCGGAACAACCACACACCATAGTCCATGACAGCGTCAAACAGCCTTGGGGAGGAGGACAGAGCTGTGAGCATGGTGTTAACTCAGCTTTCGGAGAGTGCTTCTGCAGGGGCTTAAGTCCCAGGAAGCGAGAGAGACTTAAACACATTCCTAAAATGCACATTGTTTACTTCAGTCAAGGAAAGCTTCTAAGAACAAGCTTAAAACCTTTTCATTTCAGTGGGACTTAAGCCGCTGCACAAGCACTTTCCTGAACTGGGAACAGATAATACGAAATTTCGCCCTGAAATACGAAATATTTTGGCTATGAAATATGAAACTCTCACTATAAACCAGTGAGAGTTGGCTCTTAAATTCAGCAGAGCCAAGATTTCTCCTAGCTTCACGTAATCCTTTTTGGAGACGAGGAATTCAGGGAATAAGTGGACACCCTCTCGGGCCGAATGCTGCCACTCACCTTCAAAAGTAGGTACAGGGCTGGGGATGCACGAAGAAACGTGCACAGTGCTTGGCATGAACACAACTACGTGTCCTCGAGTGACAAAGCCTGAATTCACTCCACTCCTGCACAAGGAGGATGGGTCAGGAATAGAAAACATGCTTGGTTTGGGAGAGGTTTAAATTTAACGAAGTTCTGCCACCCGGAATTCTTTACATATTGCAATTCCTGATGGAAAAAGGCTAGGAAATGAGGACAATAGATCATCTAAACCTAAAGGTCGGTCTTCTCCTTTGTTTTCATTCAGTCTTAGTTTTCCCATGTTCTCCTCAGAAACCTCCCACCAGCGTTAGAACAAGGTACGTGGCGTCTGGGGGCTCATGCCTGCCTCTGGCACAGCCTTGCAGACAGCCCGCAGGGCCAGCGGACACAAGCTTTTCAAGTCACGGTGCCATTGACCAAAATAAAATCAGTATTACCATCATCTTCCTCCAGGGCATCTGGATGGGAAACGAAGATCGGCTCCGATGGGTACGAATCCGGCTCCTGCCACACCCAGGTCTCCTTTGTTTTAACATTCAACTTGCAAAGCTAAAGGTGGGAAAAAAACCCAAAAAAACCATCTCGGAAATACTCTTTCTTGTCCTTAAACTGAAAGCTCATGGAAAAGATGTGCTTCACCCGTTGGTTGATAGTTACCCTGTCTGGGACAAAGTGATTCAGCCCCAGCCCATACGTGTACGTGTAAGGTTTCCCACCGTATTTCTTGTAATTGATCTGGGGAAATTCAAAAGCTACAATAAAAAAAAAAAAAAGCGTGAGGATTAGTGGGACGCGGCATGCAGGGGGGACTCGCTGCGCTTCGGGGTCGTCGTCTTACCGTGGCGCGGCCCTGAGAAAATAACTTCTGGCTCCAGCCAGATGGTCTCATCGCTGCGCAGCGTCGCCGTAGCTGTTGTGTAGGGCAGGGTGACCAAGTTCTTGCCCGTGTCAGCCTGGGACAAAGGAAAATACCCAAGAGAAGTGGAGAAACAGATTTCTTAGTCTATTGGCAGAGATCTGTTGCAAACTACAGTGAAGGCAGCGGTGTGCAGCAGAGCCTCATCAAGCTGCAGAATTGCAATACGCTCGGCAACGGCTGCTTCTTCTGTTTTCTGAGTTAGCCACAGTGCAGCAAGAGAGCCTGTTGCTAAAACCCGCCTGTATGTCAGCCTTCCCTGTGCTCATAAACACATGCATAATTTTTTTCCCTCCTTGAGACATTCAGAGGTTTTAATTAAGCACTGCCTCGTGGGGTTGCACTTTTTGCTTGCTTAGCAACACAAGCAGGGGTGCCCGTGAGCTTTGCAGCTCCGCAAGCAGCTCAGCTGACTGCATCTCCCCGGCCCACCCGCCGATGACCACGAGTGGGGTTGCTGGAGAAAAACCCCAGCAATTGCAAGCCAGCGAGCTTGCAAGCAGGCTGGCCACGTGATGGACCTCACACCGTGAGTTGGAGGTGAAGGATTTAACCACACACGCTCGGGCTGCGGCTGCTCCCTTCCCCGCGCCCAGCAGCGGCACCCTTCGGGATTAACTGCTGCCCCACGGTCTCTGATTTGAACAGGAATTTATGGGAAATAAAATAGAATAACACTGATCAGCTGGAAAAAAAAAAAGTTTATCTGAAGACCCATACTTTAAGTTTCCCCCTGCCATTAAAACGTTTAATTTGAATTAAATGGGGTCAGGCAGAGCACTAGCGATGCTTGGCCATAAGCCCTGCAGAGGAGTTGGGCAGACATCGGCGTCCCCAGGCCCCGCTGGCAGCTGCAGCGGCACGGAGCCGCGCTGGTACCTTGTCGATGTTCAGGGGCAGCACGTATCTGCGGGCTTCGGGCTGCGGGGCTTTCTCTGCCTGTCGCTTCACCTCGTCCCAGTTTGCTCGCAAGTTGGCTAAGTAGAGGTAATTGTAAACAAACTCGAACCTGCACGAAAACGGGATCACAGGCAGAAACAAAGATGTCATTTGCAAGTCAGGGGATTCAAACGTAGCTGGTTTTTACTAAAATTCCAATGGAGTAAGACGAGTCCCGGTCCAGCTCCTTGGCAGAAGCGAGGGGTGCGTGCGCACCGCTTCCCCTGCCAGGAAAACCCG